CGGAAGCCTTTCACTAGGATAAGGTAAGAGCACCAGTACTTCAACAGAGGTCCCCCAGTCCCCAACAGAGTGATAAAAACATAACACACCAATATGGTAGAAGCTGGATTTGAACTGGCTACAGAGTGATAAAACACTCTTAAATTCACCAGCACTCATGTCAGTTATTTACTTCTAATGCAACCCTTTCTACAAAATACCTTGCAATTATTTGTTAAATTATATCTGAAGAAAATACTACTTCTCCATTAGGCTCATTAACTTCACTGCATTTTTTACTGCTGTATTTTGAAACAAGTGTATGGTAGAATAATTATCTTATCGATGGTACCAGATATTTAGTTACTAAAATTAGTATGATGTCCCTGGTGTTATTTTTTAAATAGATGGTTATTTTTGTAGATCTACAATAGCTTCCAGGAAAAAAAAAAAAAAAGTCCTCAAAAGCTCCTTCTGTGCTAAGATCACATAACAGAAAGCAGAGCTCTAGGGTTTAATTCCTATCAATCAACAAAATGAGTTTCACACTACTCCCGGTCATAGGAGCTAATACACACAGTACCACAGGTCACCAGAGAAGAGTTTAAAATAAATCCAAGAGTGGGTGAGTATTGCTACATTTTGCCATCCCCTGTATTGTTCTTCTAATTTTACAAAGCCCCAGTCATTAAACTAATTATTAAGGGCACTTCAGTTCTTTTACTGCTCCTAGCACCTCTCATTCAGCTTAGATGAGGTCTGAGGAGCTGTTCAAACACACAGGGCTGGCCCTGGAAACACTTTGCTGCTGTAACGAGCCCTGGATGTCCCCCAGAACAGGGAAACATTTGAGCAGCTTTTTGAACAGAGCACAAATAAAAAGTAGATGTCTTTAAAAACACAGGCCCCTGAGGCATATCAGGTTTCCCCTCTGCAGAGAGCACAGAAGATTGCTTATCTTGGCTCCAGAACAGATTGATGTGTTCAGCCGGAAGGTTCACTATAGCTGACAGAGAACATTTCCTTCATCGTATTGCTTCACCATGCGAGGAGATAACTCAGGCTAATAATATTCTGTCTCCTTTTTATCCTCCTATAGCCTACGCATAACTTAATTCGTGATTCCAAAGGGCTCGCAGAGGAGATTGGCCTGGTGCTAGTTTCATTTACACACACATAAATCAAAGCTCAGTCTACTGGAATAGATGGCACTGCACTGGTGTTAAAATATAAAATCTTCAGCAAGGCTAGAAAATTCTCCCTCAGCTCCCCTGATCATAAACACCCTGTTATCCTAGATTCAGTCACGCCCTCCAAATTGCTAAACATTGCATCCATTTAAATTTGCATGTAAATACAAGCTATCCTGAGTCACAAGAAATACAGCTTCGCCTACCCAGAAAGCATTAGCGCAAATGTAAACCAAGCAGAAAATGGCAGAGTGGTAGAAACTTGGCATCCGTGGAATTATCTTTACATCTAAAGAATAGTGTCTTCGTTTCTTAGTAACTAATTACAGTGGAACAGTTTAGAGAAAAGGACCTTGTGATATGCCTGAAAGAACCAAAGTAAGGCACCGAACCAGGACCGCATTAGCTCGCAGTGTCAGATACCCACTCACAACCTCCTCCTCCTCCCCAAAACTGCAGGATCAGGCTTTTGAACCTTCCAGGAGCCTTAAATTACCCCAGGCACTGTGGACTGAAAGGTTACCATTTCGGGATAGGAACAAGCTGTGCTCCTAGATCCTCACCCCCAGGCAGTAATCCTCAGCCACACAGGAAACCCCACTGCCTGCAGGCACCTGCCTGACTGTGGCTCCCAGCTACATGAAAGCCCTCACTATTCTGCTCTAACTCAAGCACACATAGCTGCTTTCAGAAATCCCACATTATTATTCTGGTTTTGAAGAAGGAACTGCAGAAAGCTGAATCAGAAACTTTGAAAACTGCTAGCAAGACCCTGGTTTCACTTACCCTAATCTATCATCACATTTCATCACCACTCTCATACCTGCTCCAAGCTCCCAGCACTGTGCCACCTCTGCCCCCTCCATTAAGATATAAAACAAGGGTTAAGTGACAGATAGTATCAACGTGGAGAGCAATCTGTCTCACTCAGAAACCAATGCACCGAAAATAAAGAAAGAATTACTATCCTGGTGTCAATATGATAAATTACAGTCTTTTTCCTAAATAATTTCTACTTTTTCAGCTAGCACAGAAAATTCTTATCCTTTTAGCACTCAACAGCAGTGCAGTTTCTTCTGACATCCTGTTCAGAGTTTCTGCTAATGAAATTGTTCATTTTGATGGATGGCTGATGTAGTTAGTAACTACAGCACTCATCTTGGAATAAACATGAACTGAGAGCCAGTGATAGGAATTCCAACTGTTTCTTCCATATATTTGTTTCCAAAACAGAAGTAAGTTTGAAAGCTCTGCTGCTTGCCCTTGTTAAAGTAAACAAAATGTTTAGGGAAAATGAGTTTTCAGTGTTTCCTTACACCACACAGGTTACACAATCCCACGTGCCAAACCTATGAAGTTTGTGGTCACATTTCCCTCCCAGAGCAGCAAGATCACAGCTGTTGCACCCAACAACACAGGACTAGGAGAAACTGGGAGAAATAACCTCCTCATCTACCATACCCTCTCCATTATATAACATTTATATAAATGCCAGAGGCTTGTCGGTACAGCAACAGAAGGATTGAAGAAAAAATTAGACATCTTATAGTGCTAATGGGAATTCATTAGAAATCTTTTCCTCATATCCACTCTAATCTTCACTTGCTTTGGTGTAACACATTTGTTTAATCTCCACCCTATAAACCCTTTCCTTTAGCAGCATCACAACATGCTTGCACATGCTTTTCACTTTCTAGACTGAACAACCTCTACCCTTTCAGTACTTCCTTGACCAGGCCACTTTTCCAAGATCTCTGATCACTCTTGTTGCTTTCTGCTCCACACCTCTCAATATGCAAACATCCCAAGGAGACAGTACTCCAGTTAATACCTCCAGAGGTCCAATCTGCAAGGATCCTTGGGAAGCCAGTGAAAGTGCTCCATGCATAGCCAGTCCTTCACTGCTGGGTGCATTTTCATCACAGGAAATTGTACCACAGAGAAAGGGATGTTCTCTGGTATAACTAGAGAGACATCCTCCAAAGGCTTCACCCACCAGGACAGAACAAGGCTTTGTAGTGACCACCAGGAGGAGAATGATTTTTAGTGCTTCTAGGGAGACAGGCAGCCAAGTCTTGTATTGGCTCCTCCAGCACATACCTCTGACCTCAGGTTCTGCATCATCAGAGAAAAATCATTGCTGCACTGATCCACAGTGAGGCAAGCAAAGCAGCATTTCAGCTGTGTGACAGTGGGGAACAGAAGGGATGTATCTTTTTATTACAGCCACCTCCATGAGAGAAGAGCAATTAATAGAAAAGGTTGACACATTAGAAGGTCATTTTTGCTCTGCAATTGCTTGCAAGCCAAAGCAATGTCATATCCTCTTCATACTTGAAACCATGCAAAAAATGATAATATGTAGGGGACCAGTTTCATTATTACAGCAGCTGGGGGGCAATTGCCAAGCTCTGGGACACACTCCCAGGGAGTGACCTATTGCTCCTCCAGCCCCGCAGCACGTCTGTAATCCCTCTCACAATATGGTTGAAAATGGAGCTGGCTAGAGGATAAAACAAGAGGGGGTGGGGAGAAAAGCAAACAGACTCAGCTCATTAGTAAAACCTTGATGACCAAAAGTTCAACAGAGCAAAAAGTGCATCACCAGAGGACTTATGATGTCCAGGAAACAAGCACTGGCAGATGTGGTACACATGGCTGCATTTGCTACTCACTCTGCAGCCAAGCAATTAAGTCTCCAAACTGCCCTGAGCCCTCATCCATTACCAAACACAACCTTTGTCCTCTGCACATTGTATGTTTAAGGAACTGAGTGCATTTCCAAGACCCTTACCTCCTGACTTCCAGATGCAGTGAACCCCTCTGCCCTTGATGTCTCAACTTCACACTCTTAGCCAAAACATGAACATTGTTTAACAGCTCATGGTGTGGGGGTTTAAAAGAGAAGGAGCTCCTGGGTGGAAACAGGATGTGTTCCTGCAATCCTGAGCATCCCTTCTCAGTCCCTCACCTGCCCTGGGATAACATTCACCTCAACAGCTGGTGCAGTGGGTCTTGGACAAGGATATTTGACAAGCTTAAAAATAGGGAAAGGAAGCTGGATGAGAGAATATGTAGCCTCATACTCACTGAGGCTGGATCAGAAATACCTCCCTGGGGATTGAGCCTTATAAATGATCTCCCAAAGCTTGAAAAAAAATAAATATGCTCTGGTAACACACCTTTCCTTCAGCATCCCTGAGAAAAGGGTGGGGACTTGCTTGCTGGAAGAGAGCCACAGAGACTAATGCAGGGAAAGGTGGTGGCTTACATTCAGAACAACCTGAAATGCCTTTCTTTGAAAGCTTCCTCCTAAGTCCACCCATGCTCCTTCCCCAGCCTGGAGAAATCTCTGGAAAGTACTGGAGCAAGAAGATCTGCCTTCTTGTACAGGCACTCTCTCCTCCCCAGCAACTACAGCCCCCTACCCCAGCTCTCCCAAACCTCCCACAAGGTATTAAAAAGCAACAACAGACAGCAGGCTCTCTCCAGCTTGCTATATTTAACTACAGACCTCTAAGCATTCCTCCCCTTGCACTCCTTTAAAACAGTTGCACACAAACAGGGAGAATGAGAGCTGCTCCTCGAGGCTGTGAGGAGCCTGAAGCCCAGGTTTTCTCCCACTGCCTCCGCTTTGGGACTCCTGCATTGCCACGTGTGCCATAAAAGCCGCCAGAGTGCACGCAGGAGGAGGAAGGGAACACTTTTGTTCCTCCGCCCCAAGAACTCAAGGTACTAAATGTTAATACTTGGAAATCAGTAACTGCCAAGAACAAGATCCCCACCCACCCATCCACCCTAAGCTTTGAAATGTTTTCTTTCTAGCTTTACCTTGGCACGCTGGCCAAATAAGTCACAAGTTTACGAAGGTCTTCCTGCCTTATTCTGTCATGATTGCTGCGGGCTGGGAAGGTCAGGACGGGACCACCTCGTTTATCACGGCCACCTGTGGAAAATAAAGGATTGTTAGAAAATCAGGCAGGAAGCACACATCAAAAAAACTATGTGCACTGAATTGATAAATATAAATTACAGCACATTTAAGAGTCTGCACACCCGTTGTAGCTTTCAGACTTGCCTAATTGAGGAAGACAAGCTTGCATTTGCTGGAGCACCAAATGGGGTATATAAGAAAAAGAAAAAAAAGCCCACACAAGGAAAATTGCTACTAGCACTTCTTTCACCTAATCCCATCAAATCTAATATATCTCCTACTCCAAACAGGTGATGCTAATGAAGTCCTACTGTGGGGATAGTTTTAAACTGGTCAACACCAAAAGTGAAAGATTTTTTCACTGTTGCTCAGTGTGTTGTACCGTTCATTCCAAGATAGTTTACCACATCCTGCCAGTTTGAAGCAATGTATCCCAGTAATGTTTTTACAGCACAATGTTCTAATCTATCAGGTTAGATTAAATTAGAATTAAAATTTTGATTAGAAGTTCGTGTCTTCTAAGCTTTCCATTTATAAAGTGTTGTTGGCAAGCGGAATATTTGTTTTTGGAGGGGTGGGGGGTGGTTTCCTGTAGCTTTCCTGCCTTAAAAAACACTTCTTTTAAACTGTCAGTGTCTGGCCCTTTATCTTTTACAACAATTATCTAAAGGATTAGCCATAAAGGAATAACTCTACCTTGAACTGTACAATCACAAGTACAGGGGCAAATACAATCTATTCTACAGTACCTTATTTTATTCTCTCCTGTAAATAAAGTTTAAGAAGATTGAAACTGAAATCTAGCACCTCATTCAATGTTTAGTTCTTTCTTCACATTTTATCTTAGGATTTCTTCCAGGAATTGTGTGTTGTTAGATATGTGTTTGCACTGTTATCTAGGAAAAAGTTACAACTAAACTACAGCTCAAAAAGCTAGTATGGAACTGCAAGGACCTCGCAAACAAGCTGTAAAAATGCACATGAGTTTGCACTTCTCAATGGAAAGTATAATCTCTTTAACAGAAATATCACTTCTGAGAAAGGAAACCCATGTGCTTTCTGAGCTAATTTACTTGGCCAACAAGAAGAAAAAGCTACACAAGGACATGAACATCTCCAGCACTGATCCACACTGCTCATTAAGAGCTCAGGACACCTGCAGTCTGTGCTACTGGCATATTCTTGTTACTTTATATAAGTTTTCTTAAAATACAGATAATTTTTTAATTGCAAAGATCCATCTAAAGAGTCTTCTACAGCACTGCTGCCTGTACAAGACAGAGTCTCTTACGACAGACTTCACCTAGACAAACAGAGATGCCACTGGTACCCATGGTTTTCAGTGGATGCAATAAAACTGGAGGGCTACATTATGCAAGTCTCCATCCGAACCAGGTTGTGTCTGATTTGTCCAGGGATACAAATGGAAAGGCAAACAACAGATGTCATCTTTATTTTGAGCCCTCATGCAGACAGGGGTACATATGGAGTACAAAAACTGTCCTGCCTAATCTCCACTCAGATCTCTGTGCTTTCCATTTGCCTTTACACTATGAAGGTGAGGAAGGTCCATCGGAGTTCAGTGTCACCTTGGCAGATCCATGTGTCTGCCACATAGCAGGAAAATGGGGGCATAATGTAAAAAAAGGATTCAAGTTACAAGGAAATGAACAGATCTAAATGTTCAGACCTTTTAATGAAAAAAGCTTCCTCATTTTAAGTAAATTCTCCCTTTGTTGAGATTATTTCACACACCACATCAATGCCAAACCATTATATCATGCATGATACATGTCCAGCAGAAAAGCAAGCCAGCCTATAGAATGGCAAACCAATATAACTAAAGCTGGAGGGAGATACTTTCTCAACACAAGAAGCTTTTCAAGATTTTGAAAAATTTCCCATCCTATCTAGATGTAACTAAGGCTTTCAAAAGCTTCCAGATATTTTATGAAGCAGAGACCTTAACTTGAACTGCATCCCAGAAGAACATGCTACCCGCTACTCATTCAGGCTCCCTCTCCTTCATTCACAATTATTTAAATATTTGTACAATGTGGAAAAGAACTAAGAGTTGAGATCAGAAGACATCCAAGCCCACATTTGTAATCCTCTCCCAGGATATAAAACACCTGGAAAGGGCCATGAGGTTCCCACAGCCCAGCAGCACTAATCACTCTGATGCTGCCCATTCACCTTGGCTTTGTAAACCAAAAATTGTGTTTCTGGTCAGGGACCCCTTTAACACCTACCATTCCACCAAAGTGAGCTCTACAAAATAAATAAATAGAAACCTGTGTAAAATCTGGCAGGCTGAAAACATCAAGTCAAGAAAATTCTTGACCCTTTTAGTAACAGCAACACAAGGATTTCAACTACAGAAAACAAAATAGGATCCAGAACATTCGTGTCCTGTCTTTGCTTCAGGATAAAATCTGTCCCTCAACAGTTCATCTAAATTGTCCTCAGGGGAGCAGGAAAAATAAGGCTCAGACACAGGGTCAGAAGTTACCAGGACAGGCCTGAAAAAATGGGTTAATTCTCATTGGAGAAGAAAGCCTACATGATGACCCAGTTGGATGTTTCTGGATGATGGAAGGAAAAATAAGCACCTGGACTGACTCTTCCTAGTCTTACAGCACACAAAAACAAGGAGACTTGGGTAAAATATCAAAATGTGTTACGTTTAGAAACAAATGTTTCTCATTTGTGATAAAAGTGCAGTTCTAGGCTTTGAGCAGCGGAGTAAAATTATTACATCATACATATTAGAATCCTTCAACTGCTTTTCAATTGCTTCTTTCAACTCCATGCAATCCCAGTTACTGAGAAATCCCTAATTTTTATGAATGCCTATATAATTTGCAATTTTACCAAGAGCCTGTAAAAAGAAACATCAGACTTCTTCTAGAACAAACCCATGTATGTCTAATTCACCGTCAGACTTGCAGAGTTCAGTACCCGTGATTTACTCTCTTAAATACTGATAATATGCAGCATTTTTGTTACATTTTGTAACCCAAAATCTCAGCTTTTCTAGGCAGACTGAAGGGGGTATCACCACTAACAAACATGCCCATGTAAGGATGCTCATCTCCTCTAATGGAGCCTGCTGAGAAGCAGCAACACTCAAAAAAAAGAGGAGAAAACCTTCTGGCATTGGCTGTGCAGGGATTCTGTCTATACCATTCCTTTTCCTTCCTACTATCTTTTCACTGAAGAGAATAGTAAAGTACTGAGGGGAAGAAGTTCACCCCAGATGCCACAGTGAGTCACTTGAAGAAGCAGGAGGAGAAATGAGGTTTTCTGACTTGATCCACTGTGTTTGGGCTTCACAGTGCTTGAGACTGTCTCTGCTTGTTAGTAATCCACTCAGGGAGACAAACCTTGCCCCAAGTCAGCCATGATCACCACACCAATTGTACATGCACAGTTTCAGAGAGCTACTCAGCATGTTGTTTTAAAAGACAATAAAAACTAGAAGGAAGCCAGGAGTCTCAATTGCTCTAATCAATAAGCCTCATCTCCTGCCTCCCCCTGGACTCACAGAACTGTGATGAAATAATCAAACATGTCATTAGGCTTGCTAATTACAGTTATTAAATGCTAAAACAAACAGCTGATAATTTCTTACTGTTTTTCAAGTTGGGTTTTCATGAGCTTTGCTCTGATTTAGAGAGGCAAACAGATGGTCTGGTTATTAGTGCACTGGTTAAAAGGAGTTCGAAAAACACATGTTCTTCAGGGCACAGAGTACACTGAGAACAAATATTTAGCCATGTATGCCTTGCATTTCTCAAAAATCCTTTGTTGATGGCCTTTCCTGTCAGTGGCTTCCTTGCCAGTTCTTCCCATCTCCCTTTCTTCTATCCTATAAGAACCCATGGCTAAATTCAGGGTTTATTCCCCGAAGTAAGATCACATTTTTCCTCCACAAATCATCCAGGGGACGTTGCAGTGATGGTACAAGGCACTGTGATGCATACCACATTAAAAGAAAATCTTAAAGAAATCTCAGAAAACCTGCATACAGGCAGGCAGCACAGTTAGTGGCCTTCTGATGATCACTTTTCCAGTCAAGCCTGAAACCAAGAATAAAGAGACTCCAGTGACAAAACTTCTGTCCTGGCAGCTGCCGGAACACCTCTTAGTGGTGGGCCCAAATGTTTCTGCCTACAGTGGCCCCAACTGCCCATAGGTAAGCCAAGAAATTTGCCATCCCAAAGTGTTAGTGATATGAACTCTGTAGAGGCTTTACCAATCTCAAGTCCTAAGGCACATCCATCCCTGTTAATACACAATAAACTGAAATTCCAGCTACGTGTAGTCCTGTTGAGGACAGGAAATTATCAGTTTCCGTTAATGCAGACTTCTTGTATACAGCAGATAACGATTTTATCAAGCTCTGTTTTCAAGCTGCATCTCTCCAGTTCTATCAGCCTTTCCACCACAATCCTTACCTGCTTGCAGCAATCCACATTTAAGGGTTCAAACCCTCTGCTTCCTTTTGCACTCTCTTTGAGAGAATTCACAAGGATTAGCCAGAGACAAATGTCCACACACGTAAAGCTTCCCAGGAACCTTGTCTAACATCCTGCAGCACATCAGCAACGGAAACGGGAGCAGCACACGGTGTCTCTGGCCCCTGTTCAGATGACTACTGCAGTTCAAGTAAATGCACCACTTCATCTGACCCTGCAGATCATAAGCTGATCAATCTTGATGCTGTAGACTCTGCTGAGACCATAAGTGAGTTTCCAGAGGAGCTGAAATAATCCTCATCAGGTATTTCAGTCCAAAATATGGTGAAAAAATGAATTATAATGAAGAGAACCAGGAGACAGATGGAGCTCAGCTGATGCCAGGCACTTCAATACAGTGATAAACAATACACTATGGATTTCTAAATCTAATTGACAGACTTCCTAGGAAAGGAAAGTATCAAGGAATTGGTATCCAGAGTCTTAAAATAACATTCCTTTCTCTGTCATAGCTGAGCTCTGTGAGAGTCT